GCTCAGAGGAGACCTTATCACTCTCTACAACTACCTGAAAGGAGGTTGTTAACAGGTGGGGATTGGTCTCTTCTCCCAGGCAACCAGCAATAGGACAAGAGGAAATGGCCTCAAGTTGCACCAGGGGAGGTTCAGGTTGGATACTAGGAAGAATTTCTTTCACTGAAAGGGTAGTTAAGCATTGTATTGGGCTGACCAGAGAAGTACTGGAGTTACTGTCCCTGGAAGTATTCAAGAAATGACTGGACGGACATGGCACTTGATGAACATCGGACTTGAGGTCCTTTTCAACCTTAATGTAGGAAGATATTGTTTCAGAGCTTAATCACTTTCTGTGAAAGTAACAAAGCAACCTAAGATCAACTTCTAAGATCAGAATTGCCTAATATCCAGTGTATACTCTATTACACTGTAGAAATTATTTCAAGTTCACACTTGTGGCATCCAAGTTTAGTCAGACTTGGTTATCATACTACCATTGCATTTTCACAGCCTTTAGTACCATTCTCAGGAATCCTTCTCTGACACTATTTCTAATTAGTATGAAACCTATCTATGTGTAGGAATTTTTGAAAACTCTACTGTATAAACTTTTAAAAACTTTATACTGTCCAAATTTTGACTTCGAAAGAAGCAAATTATACAAATAAATCTTCAGCATAGTTAAGTTTTAAAATTTTGTCAATATTTTTTAAACTTTGTTTCTGAATTATGTGAATATATTTGTGAGTTTAACAATATATTGAATTACTTGAAAATACTATGGTTTGGAATATATCACATGTGAAAATATTCTTTGTGGGTTTTTTTATTTTTCTATGTTAGATCCTATTTTATATATTGATGTACAGCAGTCTGAAAGAAGCATTCAATGATGACTTATTCAAGTCATCAATTTGTGCCCAGTTAATCCTTTGAAATATTTTTTTAGTTATTTCTGTCTTGCTGAAGTTTGTAATATTAAAATTTCCTTCTCCCGGAAGAACACTAAGATTACATTCATATATAAATTTATAAAATACATATGAACAACTTACAGATCTATTCTGTATTTCAAACAAGTATCTCAAAATTATTATGTGTAGTGCATATAATACACAATAAATAATGTATAAATATGCATATATATGTTGTGTGTATATACATATACCTACTGGTTAGAGGCTTTCTGCTCCCCTTCCATGCACAGGACAAGTGAAGTTAGGCAAAGCATTTTTAAATTGTGTTGCCTGTTAAATCATATTGACTGCAAGTACTGATAGTCTCAGCAACTTTCTATTGTCACAGTTTGTTCTACTGAGCCTTGGGGAGAGACAATTGTAGCGTGTTTTATGAACAAACAACACTATTTGACATAAGAGAGGTTTGGAAACTAATCATCAAATGACAAGTTTTCCATGCCAAAACTTTGGAATCAATCAGGCTGTAGCAGATTTCCCTCTAGGCTGAAAAGATCCATTTCTTCTGACTCCCAATTCCCATGACCTAATTACTGGGAATATTACAAACTTGCTGCCAGGCAACTCTGTACACCGCTTACTGTCTTAAACAATATCAAATATATGGTCCTTAGTAAAGTTGTATGAAGAGAGTGATAAGAAGGTCAAAAAATTGAGAGAAAAATAAAAGATCCAAAAGATAGAGTTTGTCCTGCTAGCAGAGATAAATATTTTCAAGTCCATTGGGAGTAGGTGGCAAATACAACTTGAAGGATCTCAGTTTGAGAATGAGAGTTGGGCACCAGTTACCCTTTTTCAAGAGGAAAGGAAAGAGGGAGACAGTTTTATTCCTTTCAATTTTCTGGACTTAAATCTCATTGAATATTCTATATAATTGTGTTTCAAAGTCTTTCATGATATTAAATGAAGAAGTACAAATAAGAGGAAAACCCACACTGAGAAACTATTAAGTAAAAGAAATAATTCCAGAAATACATAGTGTTTTTACCTTAAACCAGAGAAGTTTTAACATAGGCATGTAAGCACGTAAAACTACACGTTTAAACCACACTGCAGAAATAAACAGAAAAGCAATTGACACGTTAACATCACTGTAAAAAGGACTTGACAGATCTAGAATTTAAATGTCAGCCTAGCACAGCTGGCTTTCCTTTTCTTAAAATTATACATGCACCCCCTTTTCTGGATAAGCAAATTGTCAGATATGTGGCATATTGTCAGAAAATACTTTTATCCTTCATGGACATGGAATTCTTTGGCAATGTGGTGCAGGTCCAGAGTGAACTCCTCAAAGTGCCTGGCACTGAGCAGGGGATTGTGGTCTCCTCCCTAAGCACCCACACCTAGGAACAAAAAGGAGAATGGTTTCTGGAAGCACTGAGGATTTTTATTCCATGTGTCCTGAGTTCTCACAAGGCTTCACTTCAGGTACTCTCCTTTCTAACAGGTCACATAATGCTGGGGGCAGTCCCTCTCTGGCTCAGCTCAGACAGGGAGGGGGGATGGAGGGTCCTCCCACACTTCAAACCGCATGATGGTATCAAAAAATTCACCAAAAATCTTTCACATTTAACTAAAATTACAACATTTTGCTACAAGAGATCTCTACTGTTATTTGGTTAAACACAATTTCATTGAGTAAAGAATGAATATAATTCAAATTATCAGGCAATATAAAATTTCTTGGGTGCTCTACAGAAGGGTGACATAGTGTACCTACAGTAATTCAGTATCTGTAGTAGTGCAGTCCCCTTAAGGAAGTTATTTGTAAGGTACATGTTTAACCTAATAATATTACACTGTAATGGGGACACTGCCAGGGATACAGTCCTGAAAATTAGTCAATGCTTTTGGATGTTATATAGTTGTTTCCCTACTGTCCTATTATCTTGGAACACAATCACTTAACTTTTTAAACTTCTCCATAGAAAAGAAGAGAAAAATTAAAAAAAGGAAAAAAACTCCAAAAGAACAACCTCTGGAGTTTGCCATCTTTTACTTGCAAAATTTTATATGAATGATGTCACAGATGCATATACACATTCAAGCAGTGAAAGCAATTTATTGACCATTTTTACCTATCCATTTACAAAATGAATTCCAGCCATCACTTCCTTAATGTGATACACAATGAGGCACAACACAGATGTTATGCATCTCAAGAGCCACCACATTGTAATGAAATCTCTAAGAGTGTTATGATATTCACGTTTTCCTTAATTTCTTCACATTGTCATTTCCTCTCATATGCACACACAAAAAAATATGGTTCAGTTTCTATAACATTCAACAATTATAATAAAATACCACTTTTGAAGTTCTTAAACTTTATTTGTCCTGTAACAGGGTTTAATCTAACACTTGAATCATACATGATTTTTTTATTGACTATTAGCAATCAATTTGGATTAAATGAGATTTTTCAGCAGTGCAGCTCTACAGGACCACCACCACAATACCTTACCTCATTCTGTCCACCTCAGTGATTCCCCTTCTCCTTGTTAGTTAATTCTACCCTGCACTCTTGTTCTGAATGGCCTGACTTTTCATTTCATGTACTTATGCAACTCAAGCACTAATTCTTCACTCTGTTTACTATTTCCGATGTCTTAAGTTCATTTTTTCCATTTGTGAGCTGTCCCTGTTACTCTCACTTATCACTTATTCTACCATCTTTGTCTCATCTCAAATTCTTTCACACCATATCCTTTCCCAGTCAAAAAAATTGTTTTGGAGGGATGAGGGCAACAACTGTCTGAAATTCTTGGAATAGATCTTGTTTCTTGAGGACACATTGCACCATCTGTAGATTCTCTTGAATTTTTGACCTGGAGTCTTCCATCTGAAGAAAATCTCAGAAGGCCCACAAAAACAGGATGATTAATATAAGAATAGTGATTTGAACTTAGAAGATTATAGGATTATAAATGCTATTTTATCTAAATTTAAAATGTGTTGATCTTGTTTTCAAAAGGCAAGTGCTATATGTCATTCGATAAGGAAACGGAAAGTGTTATATTTGTTAGAGCTCCTTTGTTCGTTCCTATGTTCTCTGGTTTCAGGCATATAACTAGATATGATTATAAATGTAGCTTAGGACAAGTAATATAGAAAAATAAGATGGCTATACCAGGTTAGCTCAAAGGTACATCTAACTCAACCTTGTCCCTGATAATAGCCGAAAGCAGACACAGAGAAAAAAGCACGGGACTATAAAATACATAGCAATACTTCCCCTGAATACTTTCTTAGTCTCACTGGATCACAGATTTCTGAGCTGTAAATGCTTTGTGCATATTTAAACACTTTTTCTTATCCATCACCTTCTGAAGATAAAAACTTATGAATCCACACATGATTCGTGATACAAGTTCTACTATTCAGCATGTTCTGTAAAGAACAATTACCTTTTACTTGTTTTCATATGCATGTGAATTATAAAGAGGAGTATACTGATCTCAAATACCAAATTGAATGATTCTTACATTGCTGACTACAGAAATGAGTACTCTCATGTTTTTAGGTAGGTTTGGGTCTAATCACTGGCTTTAAAAGATTTGCCATCATTTTTTCAGTACAGTAAAACAATAGGTCCTATACAGAATCACAAATACAGAGAAAGGCTTTATGGATCCTTTATGGGTCAGTGTCATATTTATTAAAAGAAAATATTGAAAAATTAAAAAGATCAGACAAATATCCTTCATGGATGGTATCCAATGATAAACAATATTAACAATTCATAAGAGTTCTAGATAAAGCACAGAAATACTTCAAGACAAGTAGAATTTCCCTATTTCCAATATATAATAGACATATAATTGCATAATTGATATTTATTTAACAAAATTAATAATTCATTTCTCTTCTTCCATTCTGGTCCTGTTTTCAACAAGCTTACAAGAGCAAACACTTCAAAAAAAAGGAACATAGTCAATATGTGCTGCTTATTGTTTAAGTTGTTATACTCACATTTAAAGGTTCTGAGTTTAGGCAATAACATGGTACTAAGAAATGTCCTAGAAAACCAGCAGTACGAAAACTACTGCCTTAACACCAACTTCCCAGACAGTAAATGACAGGTTAAGTGATTCTATCTAAACTTGGAAAGTATGAGCAAGAATGCTAATTTTTTACTGTAAGTTTTTAGTTAAAAAATAGCTACGGCACTGCAAAGACAGTATTGCCATTGGTAATAAGAATTCTTACTAGCTTTGCAAAGCTTCAGGCTGGGCTGTTAGACTTGCCTTTTTGGGACTCAATCTTCACTTGCTTGGAGCTTTGCTTTAATCAGTTAAGCTGAAAGAGCAATTATCTAATGACCAAGTGGCTCTTACTTAATTAATTTTTATTTTGTTTGGCTTTACATGAGTCTGTGTTATAATATTTTTGAGAATTTCTACATAGAAAGAAACAATTAGTAATGCTGTGGATAATGAGTGATCCATGACCCGATAATAATCATGAAGCATCTAGGAGAATAGAACAGGGGTGATAGCAGAAGCCTGAAGGATGTGGATACTCAATATCATACTGGCCTTAATAAGGATATCAACAGCTCCTCAGTGGACATTACCACTACTAATGAAAACGTAGAAGCTGATCAAAACAGATTTTAGGGATAACAGAAAGAAGAAAGTGCATCCATCATATGCACAGCACATCGTTTATGGTAAAGTCATATATAGTACACAGTTACAGAAAAGTAAAGAAAGAGCAAAGGATAAAGGTTGTTAGAAAACACACAAAAATGGTCCTATGCAGAACCTAGAGCAAGGAGAAAAACTATCACTTTCAAGAATGTGTTTTTCCTGACAAAAAGGAGGAAAACAACCCTCTAATTAACATCTCACTCCCAGAGAGCTGAGAGAATGCCAGCAACTCATCACAACACCCTCAGAACCCATGCTGTAAGCTCTGTCTTGGGGTCTTTGATGAAACCGGGAATGGCTGTGAGAATATCCCTCCTCTGGTGAATTTTCTGCTGGGGTTCATGGCCAATTTGGAGATGGCACAATGATGTCTTTGAAAGAACAATCTAGCAAAGGCTTCAGTGGAGGCTCCCAGACACCCAGCAGGTAGGCTGTGGCTGGTCTGTCTATGGAACTGCTTTCAGCTGGGACTAACTCCAGGCTCCCAGCCCTGTGACTGAGTCACTTATCTCATTTATTCAGACAGTGATCCTGAGCTGTGGGCTGAAGTCCTGGCCTGACCTCAGCCCTGTCTTGACACCAACAACCTGACACAATCACTTGGCTGAATCTGACCTTGATCGTTGTCTGTGAACCTGGCAAATGAGAAACAGATTTAGATTTCATAAGGGTTTGGTCGTTTTGGTTTTGTTGTTTTTTTTTTTAACATATAACATCTGCTAACTGTAGCTTTGTTAATGAGGTTTCTTTCATATTAATTAGAAAATTTGGACTGAGAGTGTTTGTACCACTGTAAATAATTAACAGTAATAGCCACTTGCAATTTGTCCACACAATTGAAGTTTTACTAATTTTTTTTTCATGTATAGAACATTCTCTATTTCTGCCTTTAGTTAGATTTTGAGCAAAACATGTTGTCCTAGAATTGTCAGTTCATTCAAGCACCAGTTGTTCATTAGGAGGCTTTCAGGGGTAACACTTGTGTACATGAGGCTGCTTCTCAACAACTGTCTTTGATAGTGACAAAAACTACACTAATATCTTGAAGTTTTAAGTAAATCTAGTTCCACCTGACCCACCTAATCCACAATCTTTCTTCTATTGTCTTATTTCTGATTTTGTCATGTCTAATGCAAAGAACTTGAGTATTCACTTAAAAAGAAAGTGAATATCCTAAATTATTATTTTTTTTGTTGTTCCCCTTAACTACAAAGAAGACCATGATTTAGAGACTGCATATTAACTTTGCCAATGTTTATACTTTTCAATTTTATAAGTGGCATCTTTTAAAATACTTCTAGAAAAACCCTCATACAAGAATTAATTACCATGGATTCTAAATCTTAAAACAATGCTCATTTTGCCAGATTTCTCCCATTACTACACGGAACTATTGTTACCTTGGTGATGTGCTTATCAAAGCTTTAGTGAAACAAAGCTACATTTAACCATTCATAATGTAATTAAAATAATCATCATTTGTGATGGCATGACACACTTCACCCTCGTCTTGCTGTTAGCAGTCACACTGAAATACATACACAGACGCAGCTAACCCTTAGCTTTAAATTTTCAGGTGATTTTAAGAAAAACATATCTTAGGAAAGAAACTTGGATGAAATGATAATTTTTATTTATAAGGTCTCTGTTTAAGTACGTACTTTGACTTTACCAGTTGCGTACTGGTCGTTGTTTTTCCTTAGTTGATGTAAGGAATTCTTAGTCACTATACTTAGTTACTCACCCTTCTCACTCAGGTGGATTCCATTTCTTCCAATCAATCCTCAATACTCAAGATATGAATGCACCCTAGTCATAAAAAAATACACTTATTCTTCCTTTTAGAATAGTTTTAAAATTGAAGAATTTGTATCTAAAAAGAAATTATGAAATATTATGAAAATTTAAAGCATATAATTATTTTTCATATTTTCACTGCATTTCTGCTTTTTTATTTTAATAGAAATGCAAAGAAAAAAATTTTTTTTCTGCTCAGAGGACACTGATCTACAAATACAATTTTCCTAGCTAAAAAAATGTAGGGAAAATACAGCTAAGATATTCATTATGAGTACATCTCCCCCTGCTGCAAATCAAACTGTAAAATCATTTTTTCTGTAGATGCAAGTTCAACTTAATAAACTGCATGAATTAATAAGGAAATGTAGTAGTGGAATTAACTAGCATCACACATTTAGAAAACAATATTATACTGTTTCAAATGCAAACTGAATATGTTTTTTAGTATTCTTTGCTTTATTGCAAATAATTGTATTCAGAAATAAATATTTTATAACAAAAGAATTTTCAGCCCACTTATTAAAAATGTGATTGCATAGTTTTGTACAAAACATGGTCTTATCATTCCAGTTTCCTGCCAGATACAAATGGAGAAAAGCAGGAGAGGAAAACTTTAAAGCAAAGAGGGATAGCAGTTAAAAACTTCCTGTAACTCCTGTTTTACTTTTCCTGAGTAGTGGATTTTCACATGAAGCATCCCAAGAAAAAACTATATGGGGTAAGAGCTAAACAGCAAAACCTCAGCATTGCAGTTATGATACTTTGGCTTTCATTTATTGATTAGCATGAAAAATGACCGTTTTTCCAGATGACGAAAATATATGAATAAGCTGTGAAGGTAGGCTGTGAAGTCATATCTATTTAGTGAAATCACTGCCACTTGAGTTTAACTATATTTGATAGATGTCATCAGATATTTTTATTACTGTCACCTGTGATATTCTCTCATTTTGGGCCATTTTCCTAACTCCAATTCCAGCTCTGAATTATCTACCCAGCTTTTAACTTCTTCTAAAAGATCATTTTGTATAGCATTCAGTGTCTAAGAATGGTCATAACAGCAGTATCTAAAGATGTTATTTAAAATCCATTTGGCAAGGTGGTATAAAGCAAAAAAGGTAATACCTTTTTCAAGAGCTTAAAAGGGTGGACATCTAAAGGGATGTCATTAGCTCATTCTAAAATAGTTGGTGGATTATTACTTTGTTGCTTGAAATCCTTACAGATGTGTGACCTTTCACAGCTGTAATAACTTTGTACAATCTAACTGATGCTAACCTAAGTCGTCTGTTGCAAATTCTTCAGTCCTTGTGTCATCTGCATAAAATATCCGTTGATTTATTTTGATTATGAAGAGGAAAAACAAACAAACAAACAAACATAAAGAAAACAGAAAAAGCTCTATTTAAAATAATATCTTTTTTTCTCTTTGTCAGACTTAACAATATTGCATAAGGGCATACTTCCTCTGGAAGCACGTTATAGCAAAGTGTTTCCCTGGTGATGTGTATACTACAGCAGTATCAATGAAAGTACTAGAAACATTATGTCTTATCTAACAAATAAATATAAACTATAGAAACTGAAAATCCCTTTTAGTGCTGGGATATATACACATATATAAAAACATACAATGTATATCTATATATATATTAAACAGTCATTATAAATTGTTCTCTAAACATGTTATCACACTTAGCAGTGGAATTTGAGTGGGACTACTTCAGCACACAGAATGAAAAAATGTAAAAGAACTTGACAGTTTAAGGGCTATATGCTAGAAGAAGGCTATAAAACTACAGAGAGCTTTACTTATAATGCTGAATTTATTGCTGTGCAATGTTTGTATTTAGCATGAAGCATTGGCTGAACTATATAGTCTTCAGCAGAGATCTTCAGGATAAAAGAAAAAGTTTAAAACCCACATAAAAAAAAGATGCTCCTGTCTTGCAATCATATTGTATAATCTGGGAAAAAATAAAGAAGAGTTAAGATCTAGCCCTATTAAGATCTAGCTCGGAAAAAGGAAGCCAAAAGGCTTCAGCTGAAGTTTCCTAGAATGTATAAATACAATTTTCATATCTCCATTTCAGTGGTCCAGGAGATCCAAGGAGACTTTGGGGCTCCTAGGTAAACTTAAGATCTTTATGTAACACTGCGTGTGTTGGAAATTATAGTCTCTCATGATTTATTTTCCTTGCAGCAGCATTTAGAGGCTTATGTGGAGATGAGATGCACTGTAATTATTACTATCCAATTATATAGAAAAAGGGAGCCTGAATTAAAGAAATAAATATAAATACATGTAGGTCTGACAAATGAAAAATTTATTATATCCATGATACAAATGAGGAGCTTAGCCAGAGATGATAAAGAAGGAACTTGAGATCTTGAAGAATATGCATAATAGAACTAGAAAGATAATCCAATATTTTCTTAATATCAGTTATAGCTAATTTACACAACTTTTGTGAGACAACTATTAAGCTACATATTTGAGACATTTTGTGTTGTGTCTGTGTTACTGAAATGTGAAGAACTTTTATGATATTACATAGATTACTGAATACTGCTTTATACCAGCATGTATTGTTATTTGATTTTGAGTCTTTACCCTCTTTGCATAACAAAATTAAAAGACAGCAACCTTCTCATTAACCTCAAAATTTACAGCTTCCAGCAAGATTCACCTTTATCTATTTAATTAAGAATATTTAATTATTTAATTATTTTAAGCTGGAAATATTTTCAAGAAAAAATTCTGAAATACAGAATAAATAGTTTTCTTTTAGGGTTTACTAGTCTGGAATACTAATGCTTGGATTTTGTAACTGTCAAATTTTAAAAAGAATTTTATTTTGACTCACTGCAAGTTCATGAGTTGATCATAGATGAAAGGTATTGCTTTGGGTTTGCTTATGTATGTTTCAAATTGAACAGTTAAGTATGTATTTTTGCTTACATGGGAAAGCGCAAATAACATTTGTTTTTAATCACGTAATTGTGCTGTCATTTGCTTTCATGTATTTAAATAATGATTACATCATTATTCATGTCATGGACAGATTCAGAGTGAAGCAAATATGCATGAAAATCTCAGCAACATGTTTTGAATTACTGCTTTTAGGAAGAGTACATTTTGTTTTATTTGGTCATGTGTAAAAAATGTGTGGTTGGGTAGGCTTACTGATTATGTTGAATTTACAGGAACATGTTTGCCTCCAATTCTCCTCTAATGAGCAAGGAACTGGACTTTCTGCTACACTCCAGACTCTGGCCAGTAGGAAGAAAACAATTTCTATACTTAAGCAACAGACTTTCAAATATGCAATCTAAGAGTCATTATTAACTGTTTTATTAATTGGTGACCTTTTGGAAGGTTAATGTAGTCCAGCATGAGTTGACTTTACCACAAGCCATTGTTTCCTTTTAAAACAGCACGAGATCTTGAGAAAAACCTCTCAGAACTCTCTATGGGGACTTAATAAACATCAGTCACCATGGTGCAGAAACAGGGAGGAAAAAAGGTACTTTAAATTTCTTCTGTTTCATGTTGCTCTATTCAACCTTTTCTAATTAATTAGTTCCTTTAAGCAGTTTATCTGATCCTGAGCTCACTGACTATCACATTACTATTATAGAAGCTTTTATTAAAAAAAAAATAAATCCTGAAAACTCACCTCAGCAAGTATCAGAACTCCTTAAGTGATACAAGGTTGTATTTCACAAATATAAAACTAGCAAATAGGACCATCTGCTTTGCATTTTAGTACTAAGAGATCAATAAGAACTGATGAGCAAACAAAACCCTTTGGGTGGACCTGCATCTCTGAATCCAGTGTCTTTATTCTGTGTTTATATGTCCAAGTCTTCCCTGGATTGGACGTACAAACAACCATCCCTTGTTGAACTGTAGTTAAGTTCACATATGTGAAACTGAGATGTACATTAAGACAAAAAGAAATCTTCTTTCTTGCTAAATAAATACAAACAATTTATTTGGTGCACTGAATTTCCACTATTTGGCAGAGTTAGAAAGCAAATGCAACCTCCAGTTGCATGTTAAAGATGAATAAGTGCCCCACAATACAAATAAGGCTTGTTCCATAGTCAATTAAACAATTGATTTCACTGGCAAATAGGAGTGTGTGAAAATAGTAGTAGCGGTCAAGATTCATGTTTTCACCATGTAAATCATAAACATAATACTGTGCCTTCATTAACTTAATGGTTAATATAGAAGTACGAAAAGAGGCATTTATTCATAGTTTGTAGTTGGGCTTTGTTTTATTAGACATTTGTTTAAGTTTTTATTAGGATTTAAATCTACATATTATATTTCTTATTAGATGCAAGAGACCATGCAAAGATTCTGAAATTAATCTAGTTATTTATATCTATGCTGGCTGAACCTTCAGTCTATTCCTTTATCAGTCTACATCCATCTTCCTCTAGCTTATTTCCCATCTTATGAAATTGGTAGCTATTTTTACACTTTATCTAACTGAGTAGCAAGAAAGGATTTTTCTAAATAGTTGATACTTCTTTGTCTCTTTTTAATAATTGTGAATACTTTCTTCTGTAAAGAATAGTTTACCTTGCGCTATTCTGCAGGGGAAAAAAAAATTTAAATATTGTACTTCTTTGAAAACTGCTTCATAAAAGAGTGGCAAAAACTTTTCAGTGTTTGAGATATGATAAGAACAATTAATTGTCCTAAGATGAATCTTATCACTGCTGAAAGGAGGCAAAGTTCAAGACATTTCAGTTGCTTCTACATAGGGTTAACTGCTTTAAGTAAGAATTGAAATCAGTAAGTACATACCTCTAACTCAATAGAATTTTCTAATGGGTTAAAATTACATGATGGATAGAGAATATTTATTAGCTTTAAATGAAAATTTATTTCAGTAAGAAAATGTCATTTCTGAATCGTGACCATATGTGAACTTGTAACAGTGCCAAGTATAAGTCTGTTCACTTATATATGTGCAATGTATTACAAGGGATATAGAAAACAAAAGGACCTTAAAAAACACACTGTGATGTCTAAAGTAAAATTTAGGTAGTTTTTTTTTTTTATTAGAGATTTAAGGGATAAAAACGTCACATAATCTCTATTTAACTACTTAGGCTTCTATAAGATTAAACTTTTAGAAGATATACCAAAATAAAATATCTACTCCCAAAAGCAATTTTTTTCCCCACAGGACTAAACCGAACATTTCAGCAATAATTTCATGCATTTGGCATTTAATTTGGGTCCACAAGCTAAGTATCAACTTTTTCATGCCAACTTCATAGGGAAATTTCAAACTACCGCTCAATCTGAGCTTATCCTGGCTAAACTAAGGATATTAACAGCACCTGTATTTGCAAAAGAATCTAAATGGCATTATCTTGTTTAACAAAGTTATTTTTCACTACTAGAAATTTTTGCAAGCCACAGCAACTGTCACCATAAGTGGCTGCACACAAGGTAGGTGTACATGTTCATCTGGAGTCAGTTGTACCTATGTGACATTTCAGTAGGTCAGGTGTTAATCAGCTGTGGCAGAAATGCTCTGCATGGGTTGACAGAACCCTTGAGCCTATATTTGCATATCCTGATGAACTATAAGACATGTGGTCTGTTTGGGACCGTGACACATGTGTACAAGCATGATCTATCCTGGCTAAGACACAAAAGAGGAATCGGAGCTGTATGACACTGTGCTGCTGTTTCAGAGTGTTCTGGCTAAAAGAATAATCATATATTACTTGCAAACCTGACAATAACTTTATCTGAACCTAGGAATGTGAGGAGCTTGATACTTGGATCTCTTTCAAAACTGTCAAATTCACATTTGATCATTAAACTTTCCAGTTGTTTTTTCTTGTAGTTACAAACCTCATGCTTTATTAAGGGCGGTTTTTGTTTTGAGTTTTTGGATTTTGGTTTTTGGGGGTTTTTTTGTTTGTTTGTTTTCCCCAAATAAAAGCCACTGAAACAAAAGAGTTCCTTTACATGAATCTTTCCTTTATTCTACCATAAGTTAAAACAGTGTAAATAAAGCAGAATAGAAAACCAAGCTTGTTTCGAGTGATGAAAGCAATTAAAACTATAACTTCATCTATTTTGTCACCTAACCAGCGATTTTGTCAAATCCTCTTCCCTCCCCTTCCCCAAGTCTTTCTGTATTTCAGCAGTATTCATCCTAGGCAAGAAACAGCAGCATCAATGCTATTCTGCAACCAAATTCTAGCTAATCAGATGGTAAGAATACCTGTGCTTTAGGATGGACAGCTGATACTAAAAGAAGTATGCAAACAGGTTTCTGCCCTCTCTCAGGGGATGCCTCATATGGGTCTCTATATGTAAGTTGTAATTTTC